TTCGTCCACGTGTCGCAATATGGGTATGCAAGGAGACGAATAACGCAGTCCTGCAGTGTTGGTATTTCTCAATATCGGGCCCCATATAGGCTACATCCCCCATATAGACCTCCACGTCCGGAAATTTGAGATTGTAGAGTTGAGTTTATTCTCAATAGTTAAACATTATTGTATCACGACAGAATGGGAGAGGTTCAGCAGCTGGGGTCGTTCGTCAGGTGAGACTTATGGGGTACTCGTGATGTTCAAGATGTGCTCGCTCACAACTTCGCGAGGCAACTGTCGCGAGGTGACACAGTGCGTAATGTATGTATGTGGATTCGAGTAAAACCCGTCATCAGAAATTACCGGCCTGGCGTTTAGAACGTGTTTATGACAGGATGTTGAGGACTCCATAGGGGAGTATATATTAGAAGCCTAGTGGACCATATCATTTCGCTACGTTTCATCCTGAGTCTAAAAAATATTCAGAAAATCAACACCCCGTATAGACACACAAAGAGCATTTCTCAAATACTGAAAGTAACCACTTAACTTGCCACACCACTTCACTGTATTTATCTACTAATTCCCGCCCCTGGAGACGACCATGCCCTCTTTATGATTCCACCACTGTTTCAACAACATATCACATCATACATAACTCAACTCGAAAGGTATACGTGCTATTTTCAAACGTAAACAATTGGATCGCGCTCGTCAACTTGAAACCAATAGACCTTCTCTAGCCGTCATATCGGCTTTTGACAAAACCAGGCATTGGAATTTATAAACGTGGCGTTGCATTGAAAACCCATTCATTCTTTCGATTTTTCAAAACTACAAAGTGTAAATTTCTCTGATCTATTTCTCATTCTCATCTTATCTTCTCATATTCGTTGATATTTACATTACCTAGGTTGCTTTTTTACAATACTGAAGTTAGACCCCAAATGCTCCAAATGATTTTTTAATGTAGTTCCTCTACGTCAACACGTCTTTATGTGGCCCAAATAGATCTCAGAACTGAGCGTTTCAGAAAACGGTCAAACCACATTTCTCAAGAGCGTTTCCTTGCATTAGATCGACAAATGCTCGTACCTTAATTCCTACTGATATTTTTTCGCAAATCTCCCAAAAAAGACGTAAAACCTGCCAGGACGGAAAAGTTTAGAAATGAACCGTCTGGATCCATTTTCAGACCATTTTAATGTCAGTTGTAATATCAAGAATCAGAGATCATATTGGTATCAATTCCTGTTTTGTCACCAAAGTCCATCGTTCTTCAACTCCTGGGCCTGTTGAATGCAAAATCTCTGCAGTCTTTGGGATACCTTGAAAAAAACAAACAAAAAGTGTCACTTCTTTCCTTCACGCAGAAATTAAGAAATCCTAAGATACGATTGAGATAAGACACATTGGTTTCATACACATCAAAATTTATATAAAAACTAGTTCACCACTGCGCTTTACTGCATAAATACTGTTCATTACATTATCAAAATTTTATTTATTTTTATCTTCACAATTTTGTTTTTTTCTTTTTGCAAATCCATTACTTCAAGGTTATGAGAAAATCACCTCCAAAATCTTGCTGACGGCTCCGTCATCTTCAACTCGCTGAGGTCCTCTTCTCGGGTCTGTACTACCCGTCTCCGGCCGGTAGCCTCCTGACACGCGCTCCCCTAGCCCAACTAGCGTCGAAGCAAGAAATTTTACTCTAGCATATTGTAAATCCCAATACCTCCCCCGACATAAATTAGCTTTTGCACTGAGCGTTTGGCTTCCCCAACCATTATAGATCAACAGATAAAACATTAATGTAATGTTAGCATTGTCACGTGTTCCAGAACAGTACAATATTTTGAATAAACTTAAAAGAACATGTCCCATTCGCAGAACAACCGATTGAACCATTCTACAAACCAGTACACCGTTAGTGTGTTATTGTTGATTGCAACAGTTTTTTCGACCGCTAAGACCTAATATCGACAGCTATGGCGTTTGTATCCTAGATGTGGTATTGGATGGCGCGCACTGGGACCGAAAGAGTAATTCGAAGTAAGAGGAATTTAGTATGAATATCAACTGCTTGATTTAATATTGTCCAGTTTTTGACAAGAATGCTAGGCATACTATGCGTTGCGACAAACCTTCAAGGCTGTGCTTTTTGTTTGTCGCCTACGGTAGAGATAATTTGGCGCGAAAAAGCGAATTTTCGGCATAAAAACTCTTTTTATTATTACAACTCCTGCATCAGTAAAAAGTGGATAAATCCATTGCCCTAAATTAAGAAAATAGATCCCTTCTAACACGTGTTTGGCCAGAATCAAATGTTTTTTGAGTCCATGCTTTTTTTCTACTGACAAATCGGAATTGGACAATCGCGTAAAACCGTTCAGTCGATGTTCGTACCAAATTAGTATTCACCCAATCGATCTGGGCTGATGTCCGTTCTGGTCTCTTGAATTTGAAACCACGGTATTTACATTAATTGCCTTGACCCGTACTTTACAGAAGACCCTGAGGACATTTTCTCGCTAGAACCTTCCCCATTAAAAATATGGCTTCATTGATTTTTTATTAAACACATGGTTGGACTGGTGTAAGTCTCAATGTTCGTTCAAAACCCGATTTTACCGATAATTGCCCGAAGTCCAGCCTCTTAATGTTCAGGCCAACTATGCTTACGGTGTCTTCCCTACGACTTCAATTATGAAGGCTACAGATTTGTTTCGTCTTAACTAAAATAATCTTCTTAACGTAGCTTGTAAATCAAGGTCATGTTTAATTTTTCGCAATATTTTTAGTACAAAGCAAGATAGCAAAAAGGAAGAAGGTAGAAAAGTAGCGTTTGTTTTAGCTTCATCTCTTTTCTCAGACTAAGTATTGAAGCTTTCTGCACCCGGCATGCGTATTTGTTTGTGGTTCCTAAAGCTTATTGGCACCGTAACCTGCAGACATTGTCGGTCGCGGTGATGTATGGTAACAACGTGTTTCCCTCCAATTGCGTGATTCCCTTGAACCACGCTTCAAATAGTCGACCTTTACGACCATTTCACATAAGTGATTATTTCATAGTGGGCGTCCTAGCAACTGCCAATGTCAACGTATTATGCGCAATTGCTCATTATAACGTTATTCATTATAATGAATAAATGGTACCATATGCTTTATTCCACTTCAAATCGGTCTCACGCTCTCTTTGTCGTGCGAGATGAATTTCGGAGACCAGCTATACGCACCAGCGTCCCTGCATGCCCATATTCAAGCTCGTTTTTGGAAATTTTTCTTGTACCAGAACTGCACAATGTTGGACTGTCATTCCAAAGAGATGTTTGTAGCGCCTGTCGATTTTGTTGATTACTACGGCACGTCGGTGTTAAGATCTAGCACCCAGGCAGGATATGAAAATCAAGTTTTGTGAGATCAAGTCATAGAGATGTGTCTGGCTTCCATATTGCTCGATGTAATACAACAAAAGTGTGTGCCTCCTTTCTGTTTATTAGATGGCGTAAGTGGTGTTTTTTAGTAATTCGGTATTTTCTTTACATGAATGGGCTTTTTCCATGTTGTACATTAGTCCTACTAAAATTAGAATATTAAACTTGAGTAGTTTAAAATCGCATCAAAATTCCATTATTTGCGGCCGCTTATGAGATTTATTAGAAACTGACAAGTGAAACTTCAACCATGATTCCTAGAGCTACAGTGCAGCTACTATCTCCGAACGCTTAGTATGTTGTTATCGACACCTAATGCAATCAGTGTTCAGTCACCACTGGCGAGCGGACGGTGACTCGACAACATGGAGTGACACTAGACCGTACTGGCCAATAATACAAATGATAAATATTATATATAAATATATAAATATATATAAATAATTATATATATATATATTAGCGCTCGTTATTCTTTGTTGACGTTGGCGCGCAGATCATCTTACGATGGAACCGAGCCAGCCTAACTCACACGACACAAGATACTGGCAAGCTTGCATCATAATTTAATCTTTTTGCACAGCTCCTATCGTAACACGCCCCTGCCGAGTCCCTTGGTACACACATATTTACCGACAGACTAGTAGTTTTTTAAAATTGCAATCTACAAAATAGTTGGTGGCATAACTTGATTGCGCGGTGTTTTCCGCCTTCAGTGCGACATGTCCGTCTTCCAAGCGATTTCCAGCGCAAACACAAGATTTGCGTCCATCAGGGCAACAAAGACAGAGAAAAAACCGGAAAATATGTGCTGGAACAAGAAGCAAAATAACAAAGGGATCCTGAATGGAGAGAACAGACAAGACCCTGAATGAAAGTAAGGGTGACACAATAGCTACCAAATCATACTCATGCCTACACTTGCTTACACGACAGAACGACGAACCGATAAAGTGAACAGAGCAGAAACATCCAAGAATTGAGCATCCGTCCGACAATATTAATATTTAGCTAGTTTACGTGTCATAAAATGGAGACACCAACAAAATTTTGATTTCGTGTTTCGCCCAACAAAAACGACCTCTAATATGAAGTTATTCCCAAACCGAGTCGAGGATTTTTGATTAAAGCCATCATATTACATTAATCGTTTGTATCGAGAAAAAATAACGTTTATTTCTTGCATTCATGCACAAGTGAGTTCTAAAACGAATCTTGGCAAAACACACAATGGTGGGTTTAGCAAGCGTTTCGCACCAACTATAAAGTGCACAACACCTACTACACTGAACTAGTCTGGCAACTTATGAATCTGAGACTTTGTAATAAGGTTACCACAAAATGAATACAACCTTCAGGGGCAAAGACCAAGGAAGAATACCATACTCATAATCATATAACGCAAACCCAACAAATAGTTTTTACACATATTCTGATCTCACCCACATGTATATGAACCAATTCAATTCGCCGCGGTCTATGACCAACGGGCAGACGAAAGGAATTACGAATGCATAGATGAAAACAACGAAAGAACCAGACGATACCAACAACGCAAAAACCCGATTTTTTTTTCAGCGACCAGACACATACCAATCCGCATATCGGATCACATGCCGGTTCCCCGCTACATAAGCACAGAGCTTGACCACTTCACACGAGCTGAGACTCCACAAACAATTGCATATCTCCATGAATCTCTTCGTTTGTACATCTTACACGTATACAGCAAGTAACTCATACCTCTGAAAGATGGCACGCCAAAAACCCACCAGCAGCAGCCACCCCAGGGTTCAGCGCACGTAAGAACTTCTATAAGTACACAAGGACGACCAAAATAACAATATAACATAGACCAATAACTTTCAAATAGCCACAAATGCTCGAGACCACGCAACTGCCACAGCATATGCAGAACCTCCAATCTCCGCTCACACACTGCAACACACCCCCAACGAAACGCCACCCCGCGAAAACTGCTCCCCTCACACCTGGGAAGCCCGAAGGCTCCCAAATGAGGCTCCGACCCACCTTCAATAAATATAACCGTATGCTCCACCATCTGCCACCAAGACCTCAAATCTCACCCGCCACACGCGCCGGAGCGGCTCTTCCCGCGTGCGGAAAAAGGTAGATTTACTTAGAAGCGAAGCGGTTTATGCAGTTGCGAAACCTTCATAATGCTTCAGATTGCCCCTCACAAAACGACTGCCTCGCTCCTTCCCGACGCAGCATTTCCGCTCCCTGCGCGAAATAACAAATGCGGCCAG